TAGTCTTTTCTGGCCAAATCGACACATAATCAGCCAAATCCAATCGATCGTGCCCTATTTTGACGACTTTCGACCATCGTTCGACATGGTGGCCAGTTGCCGCATCCATTTGGATGGGTGGGCTGTTTTTTTTAATTTATAAAATTTTTATTGTGGGGGGTGTTTAGCTAATTAACAATATAGGGGGTTAAAAATCTAAACATTTTTATAAATGTTTTCAAAAAATGTGCACATTCTATAATCATATCCTATTTGATTAAATCTTATCTTATCTTATTCAAAATACAAATTATTAAAAAAAAGTGTACACAAAGAGCCTTTTTTGCTGCTTTTCTCAAAATTTTAAAATTCTATAAATTTATAATTCAATAATTATAACTGAAATGATTTGACAAACAAAGAAAGTATAAGAATTAAGAAAAGAAAATGGAAAGAGTGGGTTTTGACAACTCCATAACAAAGAGCGTTGATTTTGAAATTGAATGGAGAGATTACCTCATACTGGCTGGTGTTGGGAGATTGAGGAGAGACTGTTGATGCAAGAGAGACGGGGTTAATGGTTTCTTCAGCCACAAGTGAGTAGGTTTGAGTGAGCAGTGAGACGAGAAGAATGTGAACGGGATAAGAATAGAGATGGAGTTGTTTGAAAGAGAGCAATTGGGGTTTTAGTAGTGGGGTTTGGGAAATAAGCTCTGGTAAAAGCAAAGCAGTAGCCATTCTTGAAGATAGGATAAACAGGCCACCTTTTCATTTCTCAATATGCTACGGACATCGGAACCTACACCGAATTACGTGTCTCATGACTCACACCAGCCATTTCACGTTCACAAATATTTTGCTAGTGAATAGCCGTTCACTTACGATGGACTCCTGTCCATATTATATGGACGGGAGTCCACATTTAAAGGACGTCCGTTAATCAGTAAATGGAAAAATATAAACAAAATAATGGACGACCGTTCATAGGTTATGAACGGCTGTCCCTAAATAAAGGACGGGCGCACATAAAATGGACGCCCTGTCAATCTTTAATAATAATAATTTTTATAAACAAATTAATGGACGGGCATTCATATGTTAATGGACGACCATCCATTATTATGGTTTTAAAAAAAAAAATAAAAAATGTAGGGATGCCCATTCATCATTGATGGACGGTCGTCCATGATTTTGGACGGGCATCCGCAAATAAGGGACGCCCGTCCATAATATTAAAAAAAAAATAAAACAAAATTTTGGACGGGCGCCCAAAATATATTCACTTCTCTTTTCAACTTGAATTGCTTTTTACTTAACTCTTCTCTTTTATAGTAAGCTCCTAGTGACCGAAAATAAAGTAGAGGGTAACCAAATGGTGCAGATAGGTTAAACAATTACTGAAGAGAATGCAAATGTGCTTCAGGGAATCAAACCTGACTGAATGCATATCGGTTGGATGTAAATCTGTAGTAGTATCTAGAAAGGGAAACGAAAATCTAAGAAAATGAAACTAGGTAAGGGTGTGATGCCCAACATAAAGGTGTTACGAATTTGAGAGTAGCGCTTCCTAGTGAACAGAACAAAGGGGATGGTAACCAAGGAGGTAAATCTGTAAGATCCAGGTCTTGTTTAGTTCTAGAGTAGCAAGTTCGGCTTCCATTGCTTGCCCAATCAAGGTCCTTGGCAGCTTGTTTAAAAGTTTGTGGGTCTTTTTGGAAAAAATGGTAGAAGAAAATAAAGCAAATGAAGGTGATAAACGTGTATAGGAATCAAATAGGACAGAGGAAAAGGAATACCTGAAGGAGCTGATGTCGTGTCCACGGATTGTTGCAGGATGTGAGCTGACTTGTTGACAAGAAATCGTGCAAGTAGTGAGGAGTTGTTCGTGCATGGGTTGATCTGCGAAGGAGGTTGAATTGGTATGGCAGAGAAGATAAGGAAGAGGAATCTGGTGAGATTGTATGTGCAGGATGGTGCTGTAGCAGTAAGTTTGGGATGGGGAGAAGAGAGAGGAGAGGATTAGTGAAGGGGGGATGGGGAAAAAAGAGGATGAAGTTCGTGAAGACAGATTGCATGGGATAAGGAGATGGTAAGTTAGGGAAGGGAAGGAGCGTAGTGGTGTTTGTTAATGAAATGGAAAAATGTGTTCATGGAATGTTACATCCTGAGAGGAAACAGTCTTGGTATTGAATCAAGCAGTTTTAACCTTTTATACCAAAGATAGCCAAGAAAAACACAATGACACCTCTTGGATCAATTTTTGCGCTTGCGGGAGATGGTGGAACAAAACAAAGACACCCCAATATTCTCATGTAGAGTATGTGGGAGGCCTTTAAACAAGACTCAAAGGTGTTTTTCTTTGAAAGTATGGACTAGGAATGCGATTAATAATGTAAGCAGTTTTAAGTATCAATCTATCCAATACAGTAGAGGAATGTTAGACTGAATTGTAAGGCTCGGGCGATATTTAATAAAGTTGGTGTTTACGCTCAACTTTTCCATTTTGCTGTGAGTTTCCACACACGTTCTTTGATGATATGCCTCTTTGTGAAGAATTCAGTCATTTGAAATTCAAGAACCATATCACTACGAAGGATTTGAACGTTGGTATGAAATTGAGTGTGGACCAGATTACAAAGCCTCGATACACTTTTCTGGTATCTGATTTCCTTAAGTAATATATCCAAGTACTTTGAGAATAGTCCAATGATTGTTAAAAAATTTTTGTGCCATCATATGCTGTGCGGAATGGGTCCCCATATATCACAGTGTATGAGTTCAAAATGGCTTTACTTTGATGAGTACTATCAGGAAAAGGTAGATGATGATGCTTTGCAGAGGACAACAAGACAGAATTTTTATCAAAACAGTAGAAACATGATTTTGAATACAAGGATCTTTGATACATGAATTTTGGAAGTGAGTGTGACCCAACCTACAATGCCAGAGATCGAAATCAGATTCACATCCTTGAAAATGGCTGAAACAAAGTATTTTTGTGTAATGAAATGGAAAAGTGGTCAAAAGTGCTGTATGAGGAACTTGAGCAGAATCAGATTGTAAAGTCCGCTTTCATCTCACCCATGCCAATCGTGGTCCACGTCAAAAGGTCTTGAATAAAACAAAATTGTGAAGAAAAGAACACAACAAGAGAAGAGTTGATTGTTGTTTGACAGAAATCAAATTAAAGTGAAAAGAAGGCACACATAAAAACTTGTGCAAAGTTAATTTGGTTGATATGGACTGTGCCGATATAGGAAACAGGCGTTGTTTGGCCATTAACAACAAAGGAAACAAAAGAGGTTATGGAAGAAAAGAATGGTAGCTACAGATCATATGATATGTAGCGCCTGTGTCAATTAACCGGAGTAATGTGTGTGAGGAGGAAATACCATTCATGGTGGGTGAGAAGGAACAATCTGCCTGGACATTATTGACTGCATCGTAGCAGTGGAGGCCTCCGTTGGTTGCACTAGAGTCAACAATTTCTGGTATGATCCTTAGTAAAGGTCATCTTGATATCAAAAATTTCTGCTCCAGGTTGAGAGAGGACAGGTTAACATATGGGTTGTCTGCTGGTTTTGCCATGAAGCTTGTGTCCTGGTGGATACCCGTATTTTAACACTTTGCAACTATATGTCCTTTCATATGATAGTGGATGCAGTTGGTGGTTGAGCATTGCCAGCTTTGAAACAAGCATCAAGAGTGTGGCCTTGAATCTTGCAATGGTGCAAAATGGTCTGTCTCATTTAGATGATTGGGAAGATTAGGTGAGGATCTGTATGGTAAGTAAGGTCGGTTAGCAGCAGCGCCATAGACCAGTAGAAGGGAGATTAGGAACCATGAGATGTTGTAGTTCTTGCTGTACCATGAAAAATATTTTGTTTATGGGTGGTAAGGCCAAGATCATAATCTGATCACGGTGATGGCATTGAATGAATCATTAAGGCCCATAAGAATTGGATTACACAATCCCTTTGATATCGGCAAGGAGAACAGCTAGTTTGCCACAGAGCAGTCAGGTAACGGATCACACATAAGGAGCTCATCCCATAGATCTTAATTTTACCAAAATAAACAGAAACATAATCATTGTCTTGAGTCAAACATGTTATGCCTTTATAAGTTGAAAATATGGTGACCATTTGATTGAGTGAATCGTTCTTTAGTTCCTTCCAACTTGAGCAGCATCATCAACCAAACAATGCTAGATTTGAGAGAGGTCTTGGAGTTATTTAACCAGGAAACTACCAGATCGTTACAGCACTCCCAGGCATCAAAAGAGGATCAAAGGTCGATTTCGGTTTAGACAAGTTGCCATTATAAAACCGAGTTTGTTTTTGGCACGAAGGGCCCTGCACATGTCTCTTGACCAAGTTATAGTTTTCGGAAGTGAGTAGGTCAGGGACTAAGGGAACGATGGATTATCTCCTGATCGAGTCTGTAAGGAATGATGGGATTGGAAAAGTCCAGGAACAGGTTTTTGGAAGCATCATCGTTTTTGGAAAAGCATCAGCCATTGAAAAGAAGGTTTTACTCTGAACCTTGCTCTGATACTATGTCGAGTAACAAGAAAATAAAAAAAGGACAAAGCAGTGTTGTTGAAAATGCTATTGCATTGATTGTATTGAATTGAATTAAACTGTACATGATGCCACTGCTTTATACACGATACAAATGAAACAAACCAAAGATTCTTGTACAGCTAGCATAAAATGTAAATTTCATAATGGTACAAGGACACCCAGCTTGAAAGACCAGTTAGTAATTTTCTCCACAATAATCATGTGAGTGTGGTCCATCTGATATAAAATGTGGCTGCATATCAACGTCTTTGAAATGCCACGAGCTGCTGCATTTGCATGAGACGAGCTGCTCGTGGCAAACCAGTTCGCCACGAGCTGCTGCGTTGCTGAGACGAGCGATTTTGACTGCTCTAATACTTCCCCACGAGCTGCTCATGGCAACCAGTTCGCCACGAGCTACTTCGTTTGCATGAGATGAGCTGATGTTGGACTGCTCTAATAGGAGGTGTAGATGGGTCGCAGGGAACAATAACTAAAGGGAATGCAAATGGTTTTCTGTCCTCCATTTTCAAACAAAATGTACTTAATTTCCGAGTTTACAATTACAAACCATATTGTTTCAGCAGGCTTAATTTTATCAAACAGTTGATTAGTTTCTATAAGCGTAAGAAGAGAACCAGAGCGCTTTACTCTAACAGTCAAAGAAGAGCCATCCGCATCAACAAACACATCTTTGGAGCTTAGATTATCTTGGCCACCCATTTGTAATCTTAACTCAACCTCGGAGGACCCATCTGAAAACTGCATTATTTTTCACAAAACAAGAAGTGGGTTTTGACGAACTCCATAACAAAGAGCGTTGATTTTGAAATTGAATGGAGAGATTACCTCGTACTGGCTGGTGTTGGGAGAGATTGAGGAGAGACTGTTGGTGCAAGAGAGACGAGGGGTGAATGGTTTCTTCAGCCACAAATGAGTAGGTTTAGAGCGAGCGGTGAGACGAGAAGAATGTGAAACGGGATTAAGAATAGAGATGGAGTTGTTTGAAAGAGAGCAATTGTGGGTTTTAGTAATTGGGTTTAGGGAAATGAAGCTCTGGTAAGAAGCAGAGGCAGTAGCCATTCTTGAAGATAGATAGGATAAAACAGGCGACCTTTTCATTTAGTTCTATAAATAAACAGAAAAATCTAAAAAATAATTTTATAACAATTATATACATTAATTATTGGCTGAATTTAAAACTACCCTTCACTTTTTTATTATTACAAACTTCAGCATATTAAGTGAATGTATTTCATATAAATATAAAAACTAAAATTTATATTCAAATCAAATAAATTCTTTAAATTAAATTTAATAAATAGACAAAATATTTAATAAAAAAGATAATTAATAATAAAATATATAAAAATTTGTAATTTATTAAATAAAGTTGAGATAGAGAATAAAATTTGATTCACTAGATACAAAGTAAAACTTATCCATTAATTTATATTTAAAAAATAAAAAAATTATTTAATGTTATTTTTATGGACAAATTATTTATAAAATGTTTGGGTATATGAAGGGTATATTCTCTGGAGATGCTCTTAGGGCACTTTTATGGAATAGAAACTGCCCTCAAGCCCATCTTCATCCTGCTATATATCTACAAAGAGTATGATTTGTGCCGTATACGTCTCCCTTCTTTAACTTCTTCTCGTCACAAACCCCACTGAAATTCAGTCGACGATGTTTCTTAAAACTTCACCTGGTTCTTCGAAAACAGCTTTAAAACTTGGATTCTCATGTTCATTCCCCCGTTTACAAGACCCAAGTATTTCAGTTTCAAAAAATGAACTCACAAAACCAACCAAACACCTTCCCACTGTTAAACGCAAAGCTCAACTTGATATATTCCTCCACGTAAACTGCAGATCAGGTAACTTCTCTCTCAATGAAACTCTCGACTTCATCGATTACAAGATTCATATGCAACCCAACCACATATGAATCGTTCAGTAGTTTGTTCTCCGCATTTGCTCAGAAGAAATATGTTTGTCAACTTCATGTAGTTTTCGGGAGGATTTTGAGGAGGGGTTTTTGCCCACATGCGATTACTTTTAATGGTCTGATTCAGGTGTTTGTATGGGTGTTTGTATGGAGGGTAAGATTAAGGAGGCGGCTGAATTGTTTAGCAAAATGGTTGTTTTTGGTTTTCGGCTTAATGTGATTACATTTGGGATATTTGATTACTAGATTGTATTGAATAGGCAATATAGGTACTGCCTTTCAGTTATTTGAAGAAATGGTTGATGGGAATGCTGAATTTGGTGTCATTTATAAGCTTAATATTGTTGTTTACGGTAATAGTATTGCAGGTCACACCAAATTCACTATTCTCATTTGCAAATGATTCATAGAGGTGTTGATCCGGACACAATTACTTATAATACAATTTTGAATGGTTATCTCTTGGAAGGTGGAACTGAAGTTGTGAGAAAGCTATTATTTTCCATGGCATGTAACGGATATTTGGATAGATGGTTTTTGCTTGGCAAATAAATTTAGTGATCCTAAGGAGTTGTTTGTTTTGATGATGAGTAAGGGAGATATGCCTATCTTTGATCAGTTGGTATTACAAGAATCGAAAAAGTTGAAATAGCTACGAGCCTTTATAAGGAAATGACTTAAAATGGAGTTAGGCACTTAGGCCCGAAGTTGTTCCACCGGGTTTAGTTACATATAATATTATGGACTCTGCAAAAATGGTTGTCTTTTGGAGGCTCTTGAACTGATTCATTGAAAAATGAAAACTTTCAACCTGAAATCAAAATCTTTAGTTGTCTCATTGATGGACTCTACAAAACGTGGAGACTTGAAATTGTCTAGGAATTATTTCACTAACTGCAAAATAAGGTTTTGTTCCGGATGTTGTGACATATAGCATTATGATGGATGGGCTTTGTAAAGGAGGGCACTTAGAAAAGGCAAGTAATCTGTAATCATATATGGAACAAAAGGGTTCTGTTCCAGAGGTTATATTTAATACGCCTGTGCATGCTTTCCTACAGCATGATGGGACTTCAAAAGTGGTTGAACTTCTTCGCAAAGTGGCATAAAGAAATATGAATATGTATTCCGAAGTTTTGGAAGCCAAGAGTGGGATATTGGTTTTGATATTCAAGCTTTGCTTGCTAGTGCTCTCGCTGATGAAATAGGAACTGTAATTAAAAGAGAACATGAATTTATGAGGCATCTCAGGTAACTTACCATTTATTAAACCTAAAATTAGTTCCATTGAATTTTCCTTAGAGCTGATAATTTTATTTTTCATTTAATGTTATTTTATTTTATTTTTTTTGGTAAATTAAGGTGAAGGACATTCGTTCTGGGGACTTCAAGGGAATGCATCGACATATCACTAAGGGAGCCTGGATTTTCTGTGATCAAGATCATGGATGACAAGTTTCTGCTTGTACTGCTGAAGGTTTAAGTTTAACGGTAAACTAATTCAAAAATTTCTTGATAAAAAAAAAGAAATTAAAGTTAATTCTTTAGTTACCTGTATCTCACCATATATATTGTCCTTTATTTTTATCTTTAGGTGTTCCCTGCTTTTCTCAATGATGCCACAAGAAATTGTTCTCGAAAAAATGGAACCTGAGAGGTTATCTGATTCTGTCAATCTCTTGCTATCATTACAGGTATACAGATATCATTAATTTTGTGAAAAAATCCTCCTAATTTTTTCTAAACTAATTACTTTCTTGTATATAAAATATCATTAAAAGCTCAAATATTTGACTCACTACAGAGCAAAAATGGAGGAGTATCAGCCTGGGAGCCAGCCAGAGCCCAACAATGGTTTAAGTAAGTTGTTGACTTGACAATTTTGTATATATACATAGTCATCTGTTTAGAACCTGGAATTTTTCCTATATATATTTATAGTTGTTTTTATTAAAGTATTCAAATTGAAAATTTGAATTCTAATGAGTGGCAGTGGCGTTTTGTGATGTATTTTTGTTCAGCTGCTGAATCCCTGAGAGTTTTTCAAGGACATAGTGATTGAGCATGAATATGTAGTGTGCACGTCATCCGCTATCAAGTGTAGTTCCAATGCAGTAAGGCTTATGATCAGGAGAAACTTCCTAATGGCTATGGGCAGAAAATGATGGAAGGAAGTTTAGGCATTTGTTATATTTTTCATTCTTCACTATTGAAGTTGTGCTTGCACCTGCCACAATATTTCTTATGCTGTAGCAAACCATGCATAAGTGTATTAAATATGATTGCATCTGGAGCACCCTTTTGCTTTATAAATTGATTTTGAAGTGATATTCAGTAACTGCAGTCGAAAACAGAAATGATATTATAACTATGAAATGATATAATGCTTTGACAAACAAGGTATTACGGATGCAACTTCAAGTGTTACTATGATTAAGTTAACTGTGAGGGATAGAGCTATAGATCTTAGGAAGATGCAGAGAACTATTAGTAAGAGGAGTCTTGCTCAGGATTGGGGGTTACCGATGTGTATTTTTAAAGGGTGAATTTTTGTTGGTTGGCTTTGTTTTGGTGATGGTTGTCTTGTGTATGTTTTGGAGATGGTCTTGTATAGGCTTTTGTTTTCATCTTAACCCAGGGTTTCTCTTGTGGTAGGATATGCATTGGAAGATAGTGTTTGGAATAGTTCTTTTACCTTGGTTAAACTTTCGTTTTGGTTTTGTCTATTAGTAGGCTGGTGGCCTTTATAGGCCTCTTTGTACATTCTTTTTCTTTTTCTATTTAAAGCTTAGTTACTAAAAAAACAAGATATTACTTGGTTTTTAAATCTTGTTTCATTTTGTCAGTTTTTTCTCTGAATCTCATCACGAATTTACTTTTAGATGTGGTTTGATTCACAGGAATGAGAATGGGAATGGAAATATGAATGTCTAGTCCTATTTTCAGTTAAAAATTGACATGAGATAAAAGTATTCTTTAGATCGTACTTTTATTAGGTTAGATTTAAAAAACATATTATAGATATAAACAATTAATTATATATTTTTAAAATTTATTGCTAATTTAAAAAACTTGATTATTACTATTGTCGACGGTTGAGGATATTTATTTTTTATTTCTATTAGTCTCTTAATAATTTTCTCTCTCCCAATTTACAAATTGGCAATCCCTTTGTAATTTGGAATATCTTACCAACATTTCACTTGAGTAAAAATTTTATGTTATTGTAAGTTGCAGAGAATTTTTCAAACTGCAAGTCTCTCTTTAATAATTTCCTCATTTTTCGGAAGTAATTCTTGCTTCTAATCTGAAACATGATAGAACTAAAACTCTTTCTCTTGTATAAGGGAAACCAACCAGGGAAAAAAAAAAAAAAAAAAAAAAGGATTTCGGTCTTGAAGGGGTCGATCCTTGAGCTAGCAAGGGACATCGGGTCCGCTTGATCTTCAGAATAAATTTATGCCAAAGTTTTATTCTCTTTTTGCGTTTACATTTTTTCATACTTAAAATACGTGTTACATTCTTTGGCCGTGGATCTGACCAAAAAATGCTAGATCGGTATACTATCAGCTAGATCTAGCCGATAGTGCGCTATTACGCTTGATTTTGACCATCTTCCAACAGTGGTTGTCGGAATCTGACAAATGTGGGTGGGTGAGAGTGTTTTTGTTAATTTATAAAACTTTTTTGTTAGGTGTTTAGTTAAATTAACAAACTTATAGGGTTTAAAATAGTTGAATATTATAGGATGTGATTTTGAGAATACTGAAACAAACAGACATTTTTTTCATAATAGGAATATAATATTTTTGAAATAGGGAAACAAACGCAGCCAAAGACGTATTTTTGAATATTTATATTTATGCCAAATTTTTATTCTCTTTTTGCATTTACATTTTTTCATACTCAAAATACAACATGTTAAAGCTTCTTTTTCCTTTGACAAGACATATTTCTAAATTCTCATTAAATATAATATCTCTAAAGTAGATTATGCCCTGGTTTGTTTAATTTTTCCAATTATATTATATTCTACTATCCTATCATAAAAAATGAAAATATATTTGTTTAATTTTTCTAATTATATTTTATTCTACTATCCTATTATAAATGAAAACGTATGTGTTTTAATATTGTTCAAAATTCGATTATATTATATTCATCTCAAAACATTTAATAATTGTCTTTCTCAATAAAAGTTTATAAATTAACAAAAACACTCATACCCACCCAAGCAACAGTTGCCCGACAACAACCATTGTCGGCTGTTGATGCCGGAACGATGCATGATCGACCGGATTTGTCAGTTTCCGGCTAGATCCGTGGCAAAAAATCTGTCCATTAGCGGTTAGATCTGGCCGTTGATGATGGCCAGATTTCTGGCTGGCGTTTCGCTATCAACGATGGCCAAGATATCGTTGTCGTCAACGTTAACGGTTATATCTTTAGCCGTAGATCTGGCTGTTTCTGGTCAAATTGACACACGATCAGCCAAATCCAACCGATCGTGCACCATTCCGACGACTTCCAACCACCGTCCGACGTGTGTCAAATTTATGCCAAATTTTTATTCTCTTTTTGCGTTTACATTTTTTCATACTCAAAATACGTGTTAAAACTTCTTTTTCCTTTGACAAGACGTATTTATAAATTCTCATTAAATGTAGTATCTCTAAAGTAGATTATGCCCCTGGTTTGTTTAATTTTTCCAATTATATTATATTCTACTATCCTATCATAAAAAATGAAAAACGTATTTGTTTTGATATTGTTCAAAATTTAATTCTATTATATTCAACTCAAAACATTTAATAATTACATTTCTCAATAAAAGTTTATAAATTAATAAAACCACCCCCACCCACCCAAGCAACAGTCGCCCGACAATAACCACTGTTGGCCACTGATGTTGGAACGACGCACGATCTGTTGGATTTGTCAGTTTTCAGCCAGATCCATGACAAAAAATATGTCCATTAATGGCTAGATTTGGCCGTTGATGATGGCCATACGATGGCCAGATTTCTGGCTTATGTTTGACCGTTAACGATGGCCAAGATATGGTTGTCGTCAACATTGATGGTTATATCTTTGGTCGTAGATCTAGTCTTTTCTGGCCAAATCGACACATAATCAGCCAAATCCAATCGATCGTGCACTATTTTGACGACTTTCGACCATCGTTCGACGATGGTGGCCAGTTGCCGGCATCCATTTGGATGGGTGGGCGTGTTTTTTTAATTTATAAAATTTTTATTGTGGGGGGTGTTTAGCTAAATTAACAAATATAGGGGGTTAAAAAATCTAAACATTTTTATAAAATGTTTTCAAAAAATGTGCACATTCTATAATCATATCCTATTTGATTAAATCTTATCTTATCTTATTCAAAATACAATATTATTAAAAAAAAGTGTAACAAAAGAGCCTATTTTTGCTGCTTTTCTCAAAATTTTAAAATTCTATAAATTTATAATTCAATAATTATAACTGAAATGATTTGACAAACAAAGAAAGTATAAGAATTAAGAAAAGAAAATGGAAAGAAGTGGGTTTTGACGAACTCCATAACAAAGAGCGTTGATTTTGAAATTGAATGGAGAGATTACCTCATACTGGCTGGTGTTGGGAGAGATTGAGGAGAGACTGTTGATGCAAGAGAGACGAGGGGTGAATGGTTTCTTCAGCCACAAGTGAGTAGGTTTAGAGTGAGCAGTGAGACGAGAAGAATGTGAAACGGGATTAAGAATAGAGATGGAGTTGTTTGAAAGAGAGCAATTGTGGGTTTTAGTAGTGGGGTTTAGGGAAATAAAGCTCTGGTAAGAAGCAGAAGCAGTAGCCATTCTTGAAGATAGGATAAACAGGCCACCTTTTCATTTAGCAATAATGCTACGGACATCGGGACTCTACACCGAATTACGTGTCTCATGACTCACACCAGCCATATTTCACGTTCACAAATATTTTGCTAGTGAATAGCCGTTCACTTACGATGGACTCCTGTCCATATTATATGGACGGGAGTCCACATTTAAAGGACGTCCGTTCATCAGTAAATGGAAAAAACAATATAAACAAAAATAATGGACGACCGTTCATAGGTTATGAACGGCTGTCCCTAAATAAAGGACGGGCGTCCACATATAATGGACGCCCGTCCAATCTTTAAATAATAAATAAAATTTTTATAAACAAAATTAATGGACGGGCATTCATATGTTAATGGACGACCATCCATTATTAATGGTTTTAAAAAATAAAAAAATAAAAAATGTAGGGATGCCCATTCATCATTGATGGACGGTCGTCCATGAATTTTGGACGGGCATCCGCAAATAAGGGACGCCCGTCCATAATATAAATTAAAAAAAAAAATTAAACAAAATTTTGGACGGGCGCCCAAAATATATTCACTTCTCTTTTCAACTTGAATTGCTTTTTACTTTAACTCTTCTCTTTTATAGTAACGCTCCTAGTGACCAGAATAAAGTAGAGGGTAACCAAGATGGTGCAGATAGGTTGTAAGAAACAATTACTAAAGAGAATGCAAATGTGCTTCAGGGAATCAAACCTGAACTGAATGCATATCGGTTGGATGTAAAATCTGTAGTAGTATCTAGGAAAAGGAAACGAAAATCTAAGAAAATGAAACTAGGTAAGGGTGGTGATGCCCAACATAAAGGTGTTACGAAATTTGAGAGTAGCGCTTCTAGTGAACAGAACAAAGGGGATGGTAACCAAGGAGGTAAATCTGTAAGGATCCAGGTCTTGTTTAGTTCTAGAGTAGCAAGTTCGGCTTCCATTGCTTTGCACCAATCAAGGTCCTTGGCAGCTTGTTTAAAAGTTTGTGGGTCTTTTTGTGAAGAAATGGTAGAAGAAAATAAAGCAAATGAAGGTGATAAACGTGTATAGGAAATCAAATAGGACAGAGGAAAAGGAATACCTGAAGGAGCTGATGTCGTGTCCACGGATTGGTTGCATGAGAGTGAGCTGACTTGTTGACAATGAAAATCGTGCAAGTAGTGAGGAGTTGTTCGTGCATGGGTTGATCTGCGAAGGGAAGGTTGAATTGGTATGGCAAGAGAAGATAAGGAAGAGGAATCTGGTGGAGATGTATGTGCAGGAAATGGTGCTGTAGCAGTAAGGTTGGGATGGGGAGAAGAGAGAGGAGAGGATATAGGTGAAGGGGGGGATGGGGAAAAAAGAGAGGATGAAGTTCGTGAAGGGACAGATTGCATGGGATAAGGAGATGGTAAAGTTAGGGGAAGGGAAGGAGACGTAGTGGTGGTTTGTTAATGAAATGGAAAAATGTGTTCATGGAATGTTACATCCTGAGAAAGGAAAACAGTCTTGGTATTGAGATCAAGCAGTTTGTAACCTTTTATACCAAAAGGATAGCCAAGAAAAACACAATGACGACCTCTTGGATCAAATTTTTGGCGATTGCGGGAGATGGTGGAAGCAAAACAAAGACACCCCAATATTCTCATGTGAGAGTATGTGGGAGGCCTTTTAAACAAGAGCTCAAAGGGTGTTTTCTTTGAAAGTAATGGACTAGGAATGCGATTAATAATGTAAGCAGTTGTAAGTATGCAATCTATCCAATACAGTAGAGGAATGTTAGACTGAATTTGTAAGGCTCGGGCGATATTTAATAAATGTTGGTGTTTACGCTCAACTTTTCCATTTTGCTGTGGAGTTTCCACACACGTTCGTTGATGAATAATGCCTCGGTTGTTGAAGAATTCAGTCATTTGAAATTCAAGACCATTATCACTACGAAGGATTTGAACGTTGGTATGAAATT